TTTTTTTTTATGACATGATAAAATGCTTTTAAAGCAACTTACACAAATATGGAAATTTTTTCCCCTCCTCTTTTTTTGCCTCTCTCTCTTTTTTTTTTTTTTTTTTTATAACAGCCTCTACTTATTCACCAGGGAGAGCAAGTGAGTGAGAGTGTGTGTGTGTGTGCTGGGGAGGGCAGTTGGCAGAAGGATAGACCCAGCCCTAACTGGAATGGACCTGCCTGTCCTTCTAACAAGGGCATAAACTTTCATTAGCGATGCACACAGTCAAAGGCAATTTAGGGAAACGCGCTGTACAGAAAAGGAAAACCTCAGCGTTTTTACTCGGTGGCTCCTTGGCTCCGTCCAGGGGGCTCTATCCTTGAGCTCTGCTTGTGCTCTCCAACCAAAGTGACCCCACGGCCACGGGGGAGGCGGGAGGGAGCCGGGGAGGGCTGGGGCTGCTCTGGGGCTGCACCCGGCCGTGCCAGCGCCCCGGGTGCGCCAGGGGAGCCAGTCAATATTAATGTCTTGCCGGAACACACTGGTCCTGCAAGAGGCTCAGAGGTATCTGTTGCTCTGCCCGCTGCAGAGCTTCCCCCTGCAAGGGGCTAGTCCTCCCCAAAGGTCTCTATTTTGGGATTTTGCACACTGACAAGGAGCTCGCGGCCACTTGATGCCCCTTTGGGGCATTAGTTGCAAGCCAGCTCTGCGCAGACCAGACAGATGTGTCGCTGCTGCTCCTGTTTCCACAGGATATACAGACTAGTTATTTTTGCAGCTGGGACATGTTTGGCCTCACACAGGAACCTGGAAAATACCATTCCTAAAGGGACGGCTCCTGCCACTGGCCCCACGAGCAGGCACAGCTCTGCAGAGGACGGACAACGAGCGCACGGCTGGAGGGAGAACATGAGGGGCTTGGTGGGGTCTGAAAGTCATGACCACGTGTTGGAAATGAAAACAAAACTATCTCTGCAGCTAGCGTTCTCTTGGCCCTTTGGCTTTGAGGTTGAAGTTTATGCACCCTAAGCCAGCCATACGTTATTCATGCCCAAGTGTGGGAATCCCTGTGCATGTCCCTACGATTTGCTCCAACACAAAGCCCTGACAGCAGTTCCTGTACAAGAGCAGATTTCTTTACCTTTTTGTACTAAATACATCCAGAGATAATACACACCTATGCATTTAATCCTACTAACAGCAGCTCTGCACATAACTGGTACCTTTCCACATCCCTGCCCTCTCCCAGCCCGTGCAGCCCCAGTGCAGGCTCAGCCCCTGCAGTGCTGGCTGGCACAGAGCTGGGCATGCACTTGCCCCATCTGCCATGTTTGTGCATATTTGAACTAAGGCAGAGGGTAAAAAAAAAAAAAAAAAATTCCAGGGGCAGCCAATGCTCAGCTGGAAAAACACAAAGTGCCGAGAACAGCAAACCCAATCAATAACAATCACAACCCCAGCAGTGGGTGAGGAAAGCATGAACTGTTTTGGCCTGCTCCCTGCATGCTCACCCACTTGGGAAAACACACACTCCCCAGAGGCCCATGATTTCATCCCCTCCCACTCCACCCTACACTCATCCTAACCAAAAAGCTTTACGGAGTGCAAGTCCCCCAGGCTCCTGTTCTAGCCAGAAACTTAGCAAAGAGGAGGGAGGGGCCCTGCACAGAGAAACTGGATCCCGGGAATGAGGTGGCACCTGAGGAAGGGTCTTTCTCCCAGCAAAGTGCTCCTTACACCCCACACCCTGCTAACCTCTCCTCCCCTCCAAAGTTTTGCCCTTTGTGTCCCCCTTCCCATCCCAGTTGCTGGCCTTTGCCTTAGGGAGCTCTTCTTCTCTCATCTTCTTTCCTCAAGCTCCCAGCACCATTGCACCTTTCTCCTTCCCAGCATCTCCTGCCAAAGTTCTTGTGCCCCAGTCTGCACCCCCATACCCTCTTTGCACCTCTCTACCCTCATTCCCTGTGGGCCCAACAGCCAGGTCTGGTAGAAAAAGCTGAGCTTCCTGAGGACCAGCCCTGCCAGGGACTGGTGACCAGCCTGGGGAGGGGGAACAGGGAATTCTGTCATGGAAAACACGGGAGCTCTCCCTTCTCCTGGTCTCACATCACTTCTCACTCAGACTGTACAGATTTGGGGGATTTCACTGTAGCAGCAGAGGTCAGCAGGAGTTGAAGGTTTTCAGATCATATATATCACTCTATATGGTCTTGTCTATAGTGAGTGCTAAATATAGCCAAGCCAAACCTGGAGGTGACTTCAGTGCTGTGGTGCGGGGACAGCAGCCACTGCACAGTCACTCTGCACCTCAAAGCAATGCAGATGTCAGAAGTCACAGTCCAAAATCAAGGAAGCCTGTGAATCCTCTCTCCTCCTGCTGCCAAGAGTGTGAGCCAGGCTCTCTCCCTCTCTCAGGTCTGCATGATTCCTCATTTTGAGGAGTTAAAATGAAACATCTTCTTGCTTCAAGGTCCATTTTTTTCATGGGATGTTGGACCCTCCTATGCATGACATGCCAGCATCTGTGTCAGCACAGCTACTTAGAAACTTAACCAGTGGAAGAAGCTCTGAATAGAAGGGGAAAGTCTCTTGTGTGGGTCAGAATAATTAGACTGAGCTCAAATTGGCTTTAGGCATCTGCTGCTGTGTCTGAGCAAAATCAAGCCATGCTGCTTCCATCAGCATCTCTCTGCTGTTGGCCTCACCCTGCAGAACTGAAGGGATCCCACACTGCCTTGTATAGGGCATCTCTGGGAACAAGACTTGCCTCAACTGAAGCCATAAAGCCTCCTTATCCAGATATCATTAAAGCCAAGAGAAAAGAGGCCAGACAGAGAGATTGAGATGAGCCATTTCCCCAACAAACTTGCTTCCCTTTTTCATTCGCTCCTTTCTTTTTTTTTCCCCCTTTAACTGTCATTAAAATAACAAGTTTCTGTTACAGTCTAAACATTCCCACATTGTATAAAGGGTTATGTTACACTAGAGTCACTGCCGGGCCCAGTGTTTGCACAGAAACCTCACTGCAGGTCCCCCCTCCTGACGAAGTGACTTATTAAAGTTTAAACAGTAATTAACAGAACAATAAAAATAAAGGGATGTTTGGGGAGTCGTAGTGCACACAGGGTTTTTGGCAGTGCCAGCACTTTTCAGTGCCCTGCGCTGGCAGAAAAAACGGCTGCAAAGCCAGTGGGAGAGATGGTGTGCTGCAAGGCAGGAACAGCCTCAGCAAGGCCAGGGTACCATCCCAGCCCAGCACGAGGTGCAGAGAGCAGCAGGTGAAGGAAAGGCTTTGGGGCACTGGGGAAGGGATGCCCAAGGGCACCTGGCAGCAGGCTGATGGCATTCAGCACTCACCCCCAGCCCTGCCCTCCGACACATCAGGCAGCATCAAGAACCTCCTCTGCCTGTTCTCCCACTCAGTGATATGTCCTGCACAAGTCCCCAAAAATCTGCCTTTGGGGAATCATGTCTCAGGAGCCAGAGATGGGTTTTGGGGAAGTGGCTCATTTATTTTAAAAGAGTAGTAGAGAGGAAAGAGCAACCAGAGAGCAAACCCCTGAGAAAAATCTTGCAATAGAGAGACTCTCTATGGGAGACTCCAAGCCCCTTGCCTGAGAACTTTAAAAACAGACAGATGATGTCTTGTAGGGACTGATCCTGCCCTGGTCCTTGCAGGTGTGAGCTGCAGATCCAACAGCATGGTGTAAGTTCTGTGTCCCTCCTGAAATGCAGCCAGAGCCAGGATCACAGGGGCAATCCCTAGAGCCTTGCCAGAGCCAGAACTTTCCCAACCCATGTGAAGTTGGCTAATCAGAGCTCCCTCTACAAGAGAAAACCTGCTTTTGCTCTGTTTTGCTCCCATTTCCAGTAGCTTGGCTTGCCCAGGATGAGCTCTAGAGCATGTGGGTAGAGTTTAAGCTTAGGTTGTCAGCCCTCCCTGTTACCCAATGTGCAGCAACTCAGAAAGATCTCATCTGAAGATATTTTTGGTGCCTATTGTAGCTATTCTCAAATGTTTGCCTCAGTAGCTCACAGTGCTAGCTGGCTCCAGCCCTGATGTGTGACTCAGTACACACAGCATTGTGCAGTCCCATGTTTGCTAAATCTCTTCCAGTACAACTGCTCAGTTTGCAAATAAAAAGACAGCTCCGTGAAGTTGTATCTTCTGTGCAGAGGGAACTCAGGGAGTGCTGCCTTGAGCCTCTCCCAAATCCAGGACTTGGCTCCTGGTCTGGCTGGGAAGCAGCGTGGGTCTGACCTGAGCTGGGCAGTGCCCTACTGCCACGAGGACACACGTGGGGACATCCATCCCCAGCTCTTCCATCAGCCCAGAGCCTCCCTTCCCTCTGCTGGGGGGCACGAGGAGGAAACCTCAGACCTGCTGGCTCTGTTTTTTATTTCTTTTTGCTGCCCCAAGGCAGCTGGATGCACAGGAACAGCAGCCAGGATTCAGCACTGGAGCAGGATGTTGTGTGGGGGTCTGCAGCTCACAGGAAAGGCAGGTACAGGTGTCTGTCCTCCTGACTCACTCCTGAGGCCTCTCTGCACATTCCCTCTCTCTGGACTGACGTTAGCTGAGCTGCCAGGCCCTTTCTGGGGTCTCTCCTCCCCACCCTCTGAGCATGGGCAGCTCCTCTCCAGACACTCAGCCCAGTGCCTCAGCTCTTCCCAACTCGCTGCGCTTGCTCCTTCTCTGACTGATCTTATGCTCATGTCACTCTGCTTGGCTCAGGAGAATCATTTCCCAGCTGACACCGCATCAGTGACAGAAGGGAACTTATGCCTTTCCACTGCCACTCACACTAAACTGAGAGAAAAAGAAATGCCACCCAAATCTGAACTTTTCATCCCGTTCACCCAGCTATGGGATGCTCCTCAGCTCCTGGCTGTGCTGGAGTCAGGGTCTCCAGACTCATGTGCAGTGAGAGTGGCAGTGCTCGAGAGGGGAGAGGTGTTCAACAAGTACAAGCAGGTGCAAATAGAACAACAGAAGGTGCCCCCAGGTCAGCACTCACGTGCATTTTCCTCGGCCATGTCTGAGGAGACTTGGAGTCAGAACAGAGCACAGCTTTGCATGGGGGTCTCAAACATGTTCACAATGCAGAAAGACTGTCCTGTGCACTTCCTTTTCCAACACGTCGTTCAGGATGTCTCTACAGCAATGCCAGTAACTGCCTGTAGGGAATGTTATGTTAGAAGATTATCTAATGCACTCTTAATCACCTGGTCTTGCAATCTACAGTGGGAAATCAGAGCAGCCAGCATGGTATGACCCTTCCTCCAGACACCACTGAATTCAGATACCATTATCAGTGGTAGCCTGGTCCATGTCCCAGAACTTAAGCTCTCTTTTGGTTAACAGGCCATGAAATTATTTAGACTATTCTTCATGTTACATTCTGTTATATTTGTAATTAACACAGAAGATCAGCAGTGCCACATTCTGTATTTTGCTGAATACAGAGGAGACAGTACTTAGAAGCACTTAGTCTTAACCTAACTCTGTCCTGTTAGGTTTAGGGGAAGCCAACTCTTCAGAGCAGACCTGTCCCACAAGGAAAGGGTTGGGTATTGTCAGAGACCTTAACCCACATATATCTGCAATATGATATGGGAACCAGCATCCTAAAATCTGGTCTTACCTCCTTTTTTTTTTTGGAAGGGACTTTTAAACAAAAGCAAACAGTCTGCCAGCACACTCAGTGTTCAGCGCCATCGTCAATCAGGGAAGCCTAATTATACCCATTATACTGATGAGGAAGCACTGGCACAAAGCTATGCATTCACATGGCTACAGACACAAAGCAAATCAGTGGCAAAGCTGGAATTAAACCCAAGAACCATGGGTGATGAGCTCATCACGCACCTCAGCACAGCCCCACGCAGCTGGTCATCACCAGTCCCACCCATGTCCTGCAGGTTACAGAGCTGGTGTGGAGCCCTCCACACACCTGCTCAACAACCAGAAGTTTCAATCCCCATGCTGACATGGTTTGGGGTGCTCTGGGACACCCAGGGACTGGTCACATCAGCTGGCCCACAAGGACCAGTCAACTCAGCTCCCTGTATGAGAGACAGACTCGTGGGCTGCAGACACCCAACAGCCAGAACATCAGGTCTGAGCTACTATGGGACCCTGTGGCCACAGGCACCAGGCAGGGATGAATCATCTGTTCCTTCTGAAGCAGCTTAATCAACTCCCCTGCATGTGGATCCTCACAGCAGGTCCAACCTGAGCCTTCTACATATTAATGACTCCCCGGGACACAAAGCCCAGAGATTTTCCTTGGCACCAGGGTCCAGCACTTGCCCTGCACTCTCCCTGCCAGGTGCTGGGTGCTCTGGTCTAAGAAAGGCTGCAGGATCCCTCGGGACTGAGAGTCATTACATAAACAATACAGTAGGATCACGGGCTGTAATTGTAAAAGTGCCAGAGGTCTTGGCACCGGAGTCTGCCTCAGCAAAGGCCTCTATATGGAGACCCAAACAAAACAAACAAAAGCCCAAACTCTCTTGGTGCTTAATGAATAATAATAAATAGTAAATAATAACCCTAACAGCCAACCTAGCAAGACAGATGTGAGGCACCAGGGTGGCTCTGAGGAAACACCAGTCCTGCAGCAGTCTCCCTCCTTCCCCAGTTTCAGTACGCTGAGCTCAGGTCACCAGGTTCTTGCAGGGCTAGGTCCAGCAGAGATTTCTGTCAGGAACGTGCACACCCTCACCCACCCAGTCAGACGGGTAGGAATTGCAGCCTTTGCACGTCCCTGGACTGGGATGTTCACCTGCTAAGTGAGCACACACCAACTCATGCCCAGCTCCTTCTTGTTGCAGATCTCTCTTTATGAGCTAAAGGCAAAAAAGAAGCAGATGGAGCTGAGCAAGGGAATCCAGGTAGGTGTGAGTCCGGAGAAGCCTCTCCCCAGCATCATCATCACAGTCTGAGCTCAGAGTCCCCCACCTGTTCTGTGCAAGCTGAGCTCCCGGCAGGACACCAGGATAGCTGCTTGGCAGGGACAGGGGCTGAAACAAAGGGCCTAATTTAAGTATTTTTATAACTCAGTGCTTGTGACAGTGGGTTTAGCAGTTGCCAGCCATCTGGAATAAAGAATTACAGCCACCTCCCCTAATCCTATATTGCCTAAACCCTAAAGCTGGTTATGGTGCAAGGATGAGGCAGCAGGTTGGGAGGAGATAGTGATGGCAAGGTGGGGGTGGAGAAGGGACCTCAGGAAAATTGTCAAACTTATTTCTTTTTCCTGCAAGGTGCTGGGTGGCCCCAGATATGTCAGAAGTATTTTTGCTGAGAATCAAGAGAAGACAGAATGAACAAAAACAGGGGAGAGGGGAGACAAGGAGTCCTCCATGACCACACAGTCGCATGCACCACACACACACACACGCACACAGAGGCTTACTGGTCTGCGCAGGGCTGTCAGGTAAATTAGATCTGAAAGCTGACAATTTCTGACCATATTTCCTTGATTATTTCAAACAAATGCACACCAGCCGCTGTAAGGAGATTAAAGTGACATAAACGTCCCGAGTGGGAGGAGGGAGGGCAGAGAATTCAGGTCACCCCCATCCGTCCCCCATTTGACAGCCGCTATATCGCTATCCAATCCAATAAAAAAATCCCCCCCTTTTGCTTTAATTAATTTTACAGCTAGCTTGCTTAATTACTTTCAATCAAAATCCTCCTGCCATCGCAAAATTAGAGATGGTTGAGCTCCATTAGCCTAAATTCTTCATTTCCATATAGAAAGAGGCTCCCTGGGCAAAGCCAACAGGGCTCCCTCCTGTTCTGGCTGCCACCGGACAGACGCCTGTCCCTCTGTCTGTCTCCAGCTCCTTGGGAGAAGGAAGGCAGGAAGGATGGAGCCTTGTTCCCACCTTTCCCTCACACAGAGCATCTCCTTGAGAGCCCTGGACACAGGAGGCCTCTCTGCTCACAGCAAAGACCACACGAAGTGAGGACAGCCTGCCCTCCTGGCCCTTCTATGGCCGTGCTGGAAGGAGCTTTTCCGCGGCTGCACGAGGGAGCCGGATGGCCCAGCCCTTCTGCTGTGCTCCCAGCACTGGGGACAGGATCTGGAAGGGATCCTGCAGTTGGTTTGAGCACTGCCAGTGCCACCTCACAATGTGTGCAGGCATCAGTGACTCTGTGGACACAGGGAAAGCAGCTTGAGGGGACACAGGGGCAGATCATCTTACATTTACCTGCTGTGGGTTTGGTACCTTCCTTCTGGGTATCTGTATCTGTGTGGGCAACAGACCTGTGACATTCCTGCAGCTGCCACAGGCATTAGCAGCACCTCTCTCCTGAGAACAAATCCTGAACTGTCCCATTCTGGGGACAATGGAACCTCCTCTGAGGCACAAGGAGTGGCAGCAATAAGCCACATGGCACTGTAGAGGAGACAAGTGGAGAGGATGGATGCAGGAGGAAACCCTGGAGGGAGCTGGACACTGGGAGCAGAGCACAACCAGCTTCCACTCAGAAGGAACTGGAATTATCCGGACCATTCCACGCTTTCCTCCCACTTTCTCCCATCTCCTATGGTCCTCTCCCTTTTCACATACCCAAACTAATTGCAGAGCAATGGCTCTACTGGAATTTTACCCACACTCAGTACTCTGTGCAGGTACTGAGCCCTGGGGACCAGCCAGTGGAGCCCAGCCCCTGCCCAGGACACATGTACACCTACTCTGGAGCTGCAGGACCCCAGTCTCTGCACTTTCCCACCCTTTCTAAAGCTCATGGGGATTCACAGGCACCAGAAGCTCAACTGCCCCCCAGCTCCAGGGAGGACAGGTCAAACCCTTCTTCTTTAAAAGAAAATGAAGAAGAGACAAACACAGACCTATTTTGTTTATAAGCTTAAAACTGAATCCAATGGCGCATCTACCTGGGGATTTTAGATTAAATGGTTTAAGAAACTCAAATAGGCTTTTTAATCCGGTCAAATAAAAAGAGCCCCAAAGAAGCAAAGAATTCACCCTGCTGAGCCTCACACCTATGCAGACAGCCAGGCTTGAACAGCTTTCTTGCTCTCTGCCACTCCTCCCCATCCTGGCATGGGACAGAATGTATTTGCCAAAATCTGGAAGCTTAGGGTACACCCTGTTCAGCACTTGTGAAGACATCACTTTCCCATGGACAATCCACTTCTGTCACACTGTGTAACACCTTTCTCCAGCCTTTCTGTGTCCTTCCATGCTTGTGCTGTTCAGCTGAGCCCTTCCCCTAACACCTGGCAATGCGAGTGCAGTGCCAGCCCTGGTTACATCACCAGTGCCAGCAATAAGCAATCCAAGAGATGACACCAGAACCCCTAATCCCCACTGACCACACATATACAGGCACTGTTTTTCATATGAACTACATTCCTGAGTGCCTCACAAGAGAAGACAAGGAGCCATGTGCCCTTGAGATGCAGGGGCCAGCACGGTCTGCCAAGGGACACAGCAGCTGGACAGGCAGCCCAGGTCTGACAGACGGACCAACCCTACACAGACCTGGGGAGTGTGGTGAACATCTGGAGCTGAATCCTGACAGAAACCAGGATGCAAGGGGGCTCTATTCTCTGCTGGATAACCACCTCTCCAGGACTTCCAGCCTCCAGTATCACATCTCACCAACTTTCCAACAGAAACAGTCCCTCTCCCCCACTGCTGCTTCACTCCGGAAACGCTCAGAACCAGCCTTCCCCCGACCATGCTCTGCAATAAAATTCCCGACTTGTGTCTCGCCTGCTCCAATGCTCAGAGCAGCCAGGACAATAGAACAGAGAGGCCCTAAATCCACCAGACTCACCCTAAATAGCAATGGCCCATAATTTTGCCTGACATTCAGGAGCTTGTTATTCTTTCCCCTCGTCGCCTGGCTGGAGCTGTTCAGACCCATCAGTGTTATTCTATGCATTAAATGGGAAAAAAACCAACTCAACAACAACCCGGAGAGTTTCCAAGCCTGCCCAATGAGGGCTGAAGGGGCAGTGGGAGAGCAGGAGCAGCCAGTGACTCAAACCCAGACCCATCCACTCTGCAGGGGAACAGCATCAGTGGGTCCTGCAGAGACCCCCAGCAGAAACAGACACCCTTTTCTCTGCTTCCATCCCTACCATGGAAACTGTAATCTCTCCCAGCCCTTCCCGTCTCCCACCTGGTGCCCG